GCATTACACCAGAAGTGTTTAGGTAATAGGGCCCCTATCCGAATAGCCAAAAAGCGCTAGGGTTGGCAATAACCAGATATGCAGCCCAGGTGGTCAATGTAAGAGACCGATCAACGAGTTTTTCCCGAAAATTCTTATCCCAGCGAGACAATATTGTCTCACAATAAGGGAAGCGCGAAGGTGCCAGTTACAAGGTGTCAAAGATCTACAGTAAAATTCAAAGGTCTGCTAACCCCCAGGAGGATCATGGCCACGACTTAGCAGCTAGAGCAATTCGGAGCCTCATTTTTGGAGGCAAAATTATTATTTGCATCAACCAGCAAGGGATCAAATATATTTGTTCAAAAGACCAACAAAAACGCATGGGCACTAGTCCGACTTCTTTCCAGATTTAATTTTTTTGGATATATAACTTCAAAAGAAGGGAGTACTGTACAAGAAAATAGAAATTCGAACGTCCGGCAAACCGACGACGGAGCTTTCCCTTACGAGGGCGGTCCCGACAAGAGCACCCCTTTAATCCGTCAATTGGAGCGGCGCGTTGCTACCGTATATTCGAAACTGCACATCACCTTTCAAATTTCGAAGTTGCCACAAGAGAAAAAAGGATGAAAAGTCTATGTTTCGTCTTGTTTGTGAAAGATTTGTAAACATTTTATTGGTTAGTCTTCTAAAAATCAAAATTAGATGTTACTTCTTAATTAGGTCGTCCGTAAATCCACCGCAGACCTTTTCCACGAACTTCTGTTGCTTTGAATGCGCTACGCGTTGTTTTCTTTATTTTATTCCTTCTGGAATCTACAATTCGATCATTTTTCTTTTCAGGATGAAGCTAGTCAGATTCCTGATGAAGCTCTCTCACGAGTCGGTCGTGATTGAGCTGAAGAATGGTACACTGGTCAAAGGCTCGATCCTCGGCGTCGACGTCGCGATGAACACGCATCTCCGATCAGTAAAGATGACGCAGAAAAATAAAGAAGAAGTTTCCATGGATACACTTTCGGTTCGAGGTAAGATTTTTAGCATTATAACGAACTGCTTTTAGGCAACAACATTCGATACATCATTCTCCCCGATACTTTGCCTCTTGATACCCTCCTGATCGACGAAGAACCGAAGAAGAAGGCCGCTCGCGCCGGACGTGGTGGACGCGGAGGACGAGGTGAGGCTTTGTGGTTGCTTGTGGGAACAAAATCTGGGCGCCATCGAGTTTGGTTCTGGTTGAATGGTCACAAAGTTGCGTGCTACTACGGTTTTCAAACAACATTGTTGAACTCTAAGCGTGGGTGTAGTTCATTGACGGCCATGTTTATGCTCAAGATGAGTAAAAGCCAGGCCCTAGCAAGACGTTTTTTCGATCCACCGAGAAAAGTCCGAGCGTAAACCTGATAGTCAGTGGTTATCAGCTTTGACGAATTGGGTTAGTTTTTTCGGGGGGAACGAAAAAACTGCCTTGCAAGGAATTTTGTTTGGGGCCCGGGCGGCCGATAACGCCGAAATCTGCCCTTTTGTTTTCTGATACTGACGCGCTGATTTTCCAGGAATGCGTGGCGGACGTGGTCGTGGACGTGGACGCGGTGGCCCCCGAGGTGGTGGCATGCGAGGTGGCCGCTAAGAATTGTTTCTGCTCACCCGGGTCGCTCACAATAAAATGTCTTCGTGAAAATTTCATCTTTATCCCCGGTTTTTCTGCTAATCTTACATTAGTTGTTCATAAGTTGTTATTTTTCCGTGTGTTCTTTGATCTCCTCGAATAAATTATTACAGTGGCGAATATTTATTGAACTTACAAAACACGCGTCATAGAAAAGTTATATACGAATATTGACAGTTTCACAGGGCCGGTAAGGAGATTGATATCAAAAACGGGGTGCCTAATATTTTGTTGCCGATCACTCGGGCTTGGTAGGTCCTCGCATTGTAACCAATTCTTCCGCAGACGTCGGGTGAATTGCCACAGTATCGTCGAACTGCTTCTTTGTAGCGCCCATCTTCACCGCAACCGCGAAGCCTTGCAGCATTTCGTCTGAGCCGGCGCCGAGGATATGCACGCCAACGACCTGTAAAGGATACGATACTACAACAGATCAGGCAAAGGCGCAAAAAAACTAATTGAAAACGAACCTTTTCTTCTGGTCCGGCACAGATCAGCTTGAAGAAAGCAGTCTCCTTATGTTCGCAGACTGCGTGATACATCGGGGTGAAGCGTGACTTGTATAGACTGATGTTATCCTTTCCATACTTGGCGATTGCTTCTTCTGAAAGTGGTTAGGTCAGTTGAAAGGAAAAATTTATGAGTACTTTCTGTCAATCCAACGGTTCCGAGTACCGGGTGGCTGAAGACGACTGTCGGGATGTCCTCGTACGAGAGGTGCAGGTCCGATTCGCCGTTGAAAAGACGATGTGCCAGGCGCCGACCAGCGGCAATGGCCACTACAAAACAAAGATGAGAAGGATAGTCTAACGTTGCACCTGGAGTCAATTGCCATTTTCCGGTGTCGTCACCGACCGAGTAGACTCCCTTGACGTTCGTATTTTGGAACTTATCCACGAGGATATTTCCAGCGTCATCGGTTTTTATGCCGGCCTATATTGGTTTTTCTTGCTTCAAACACGGATTTCTAACCTTTTCAAGATTCAGCTCCTTCGTCAGGCTGTGACGCCCGATGGCCCAAATGAGCGAGTCCACCTCGTCAATAACTCCCGTATCCGTTGTCACCGTCAACCGCCCGTCTGGTCTCTTTTCCACGGATTTAACCTGGGCGACTGAAGCTACATAACGGCAAAAATACGTTTGTCTCTTTGTGCAGCTTGACCGGGCCCTTCTCGTAGCACTCAGTCAATATCTTCGACAAATCCTGGTCGAATGTTCGAAGGACCTAAAATGGCATTTTCGAAAAGATTATAGGTTTCACCTGCCCATAGCGGATCAGCAAATGCGTTTCTGATCCCAGAGTTCCCAAGATGCCAGCCAGCTCGACGGCAATGTAACCAGCTCCGACAACGACAGACTTCCTGAATACAGGATATATGATGCAAGTGAGAACACTTCCATCCTCTCGATTTTCTAAATCCCAAAAGAGGCGAAACATTTACTTCGGCAGCGTTTCCAGATCGAAGAAGCCATCCGAATCAGTGCCGTAGTGGGCACCGGGAACCTTTGGAATCGTTGGAGTGCCTCCGACAGCGATCAGAGTATGTTTGCCCTTCAAAGAAATGAGTTTTTCGTGGAACTCAGATCTACCTTGTACTTCTCGCCGTTGACCACGACGCTTCCGTCTTCGGCAAAAGTAGCCTTGCCGCGGATGAGATCACATTTTGACTGAAAAAATCTCGATCTAAACCAGTAAAGAAATTAATTTACCGAGTTAGAAACGAGATTGTCGTAAATTCCATTCAGGCGTCGAACGTAGGCGTCACGAGACTTCTTGATGACACTAAAATGAGGTTGATCGGTTGCCTGAAAAATAGACGGACCTCCAATCAAACTTGTTCAGCGTCACGTCGAATCCGTAGTCCTTGTGATCGCGGATGAATTCGGCGTGCAACGCACAGTTGTACATCACCTTCTTCGGCACGCACCCGACGTTCACCTAAAGCAAAAATGAGGATATCAAATCCAAAACCGTACACAAGTGCCGCCAAGACGCCCGGACTCGATCACCGCCACGCTCACGCCAAATTCACGAGCTCGCCTAGCCGAAGCGACACCGCCGGAACCTCCTCCGATGACGATGTAGTCGTACTCCTTGGCCGCGGTCGACATTCTTCTGAAAATCGACATTAGCAAAGGTTAAATCTGTATTTTGCGCATGCAATTGAGCAAAGTTTGTTAGAACAAAAAGAGGTAGGACACTTTTCAAGGCTAAAAGGCTTATATGGAAAGCCCTCCAGTTAGAAGTCGGTTGGCCGTCTAGCCCATCCGATTCAGTATTTCACGCGGATCAAGAATTTTATATTAATTTTTGCCGATCTCCACCGGAACACTGTTAAAAGGCAAGGGGGCAATTTTTGGGCAGGCAATGCCCGCAGCTAGCAGTACACGAGCAAGACAGCTAGCAGACGAACCCGCCACCCCACCATACCCCCCCCCACGCACACCCCACGCCGCCAAAACTCTCGCTGCTTGAGAGGACGCTACCAGGAAACATACCAAATACCCCCACATGTACCAAAATGGCTTCAAAGGGTCGAGTTCAGAATGGGCTCCACTTTACAGCTATTTTTAACAGTGTTCCGGTGGCGCTCGCCAAAAATAAGCGGATGATTCGTGTTCAGCGTGAAAAACTGCATCATATAGGCTATACGTCTACAGAGTCCAACGTCAAACCTGGGGAGGTTTCCTTGTCAGTACAATCGGCAGGCACAACACAACACAATGACGCACCTCAAAAGGGGCCAAAATGAACAGGAGGGCTGAGCGATTCGTGTGAGCATACGTTATCTGAAATCAAAACTTGTGCCTTTTTTCTGTTAGTTGGCGAGGCAGATGTTATTAGTCTTTGCGACATGGAGCCTCCAGTCATCCTATAGTCTCTAGTTTATTGCCTCGGTACGAAATACTCCAAATTGCCCACCAACCAAATGCAAAAATGGAGGACCGTTGTGACATGTAATTCGGAAATGCGCTTTGAAAACTTGAAAATACAACTTTTAAAAGTTTATAAAAAGGTAGTTAGTGGAATGCCGCACGGTTCGCAGTCTTCTAGTAAGGTGCATAAACTGCTGATTCTAAAATGACCTACATAGCGTCGTTATTTTAATTATTATTATTATTAATATAAAGTATGATCTGATATCGTGAATGGCTATTTAGGGCGCCCCAGTATATACAGTGTATACAAGTATACATGTATACTTTAACGTAATTTTTGTTTTCCTATGGAGTTTAATGAAGAAAATGCCGTGCGAATCAGTGCGACGCTTGTTAATTACGCTCTAAAACACCTTTTCTATCCTTTGTTATAGTAAAAAAAAACCCGTAATGTAGCACGTTTAGGATGAGCGGCTCCATGGCCGATTACCTCAAGCGCTACACGAGCGGTAGCGCCGAAAACGATGCGGCGAAGAAGAAGAAAAAGAAGAAGGAGAAGGACATCAAGCCGCCGACAACTCGAATGCGCATCATGGAAGAGGACGCCTTCGTCAACATTACGTCGGCGGGGAAGAATGACAATTCTGATGACGAGGATGAGCTTCGGATAGTGGTAGGCAGAAATTTGGGATTTACGTTATTGTTTTTTTAGGAGCAATTGAAAAAGCAGGCCAACACTGCGCTGAGCTATCGAAAAACGTTTGCACCGATTGGGGAGGGGACAAGTGAGACTGGAGGTTAGTTTCTTGCGGTTTTTGAACATATTCTGCAGATAATGCTGGTTCTAACGGTTGGGCATCAACTACCGTCGAAGCTGAACCTCAGAGGTAAAGTCGCGCATTTTGCTATCTCGATTTACCTCATTCACAACTTGTCAGACTACCAATTTTGGATTTTAGCCAAACCAACGCAAGTGGGGCTTTCAAAATGCAAATCAAGAAGGAGGTCGAATCAGATGTGGAGGCTTCGCCGCCACGTCGTCGGAGACATGATTCTGGTGAATAGCGATTTCGCTCTTTATTTTTCTTTCTTAGACGAGTCCCCGCCCCGTACTGCTGGCAGGAAAAGACGCGACTCTGACCAGTCGCCTCCTCGCAGCAGAGATCGCAGAAAGGGTAGGTTTTTTCGTAATTGCAATTTCAATTTTTTTATTTCAGAATCTTCACCACCTCGTCGTCGGCGCCACGATTCCGATACATCCCCACCGCGAAGCCGGAGGCGGGCTGATTCTGACACGTCTCCACCGAGGCGTGGGAAGAAAGGTGTGCGGAATTTTTGAGATGTACTGTCTTTTTTTAGAAGCTTCTCCACCTAGACGCCGACAACGTCACGATTCTGACACCTCCCCACCTCGTCGTGGCAATAGAGGTTTCGCGTTTTTATTTTAAGAATATTGTTTCTTAGATCCGTCGCCACCAAGGCGCCGTCAACGTCACGATTCTGATGCATCTCCGCCAAGAAAGAAAGAAAAAGGTATAGTGATTTTCTAGTTAGCTCTATAATTGCTTTCAGACGCTTCACCACCCCGCCGACGCCAACATCACGATTCTGACGCATCTCCTCCGAGGAAGAAAGATAAAGGTGAGCATCACTACCTAGAAAATTATTTTTCCAGATGCTTCCCCTCCTCGGCGCCCTCGACAGCGACATGATTCTGATGCTTCTCCACCACGCAGAGGCGGAAAGGGTGGGGTTCCTTTTAAAGCGGCTTGGGCGGCCCCCCGGTTGCGGCGTTTTGGGGGGGGGGGGGGGGGGGGGGGGGTTTCTCCCCCCCCCCCCCCGGGGGCCCCCCCCCCCCCCCCCCCGCCCGCCCCCGCCCCCCCCCCCCCCCGGGGGGGGGGGGGGGGGGGGGGGGCCCCCCCGCCCTTTAATGCCTTAGAATCAGAATTCAGATGCCTCTCCACCACGTCGTCGACAACGCCACGATTCTGATGCTTCACCACCTCGTCGGGGTGTCAAGACCGAATCTGATGCCTCGCCGCCAAGGAGACGTCATGATGGTGCGCCGCCCAAGAAGAAAATCAAAGAGGAGCCTTTGTCTGATGAGGAGGTAGGTACTTTTACCTCGACTATAACTCCGTTTTTAGGCCGGCAAAACCCTCGAGGGAAAGAAGTCCGGTCTGCAAAGCGCAAAGGATATGAAGGAGGAAGCCGTACGGCTAAGGGAGCGTGAGAAAAAGGTAAGGATGGTGATCCCTAACCGACGCTGACTTTCTTCAGAGATTCGAAGAAATGGATGAAGAGCAGAGCGGCCGCAATGCCGAGGCTGTCACCAGGACTAAGACCTACGGGAAGCGTGAAAAGTTGGTGTCTTTGCGCGGAATTACAGTGTTCCTTAGGCCCGAAGACAAGGAGAAGAAGCAGCGCGAGGCGGCGAAGCAGGCCGAGCTGCAGGAGAAGTACCAAATGTGGAATAAGGGCGTGAAACAGCTCGCTGATGTGAGTCTTTTTTGGCGATAATTTTTATTTTTTTAGCGAGAAGCTAAACTTCAAGAAGCAGCTCGCGTCGCGGTCGAGCCTCTGACGCGAACCAAAGATGACGAGGCGATGAATGACCATTTGAAAGAGGTAAACTTGATTTTCAATAAATATAACATTAAATGATTTTTCATGAGTTATACAAAACTTTTTAGGTGCTGTATGAGGATGACCCGATGGCGGCCTTTATTACGAAAAAGCGCCAGAAGGACGATATCGCTGCGGGGAGAACGGGTATGACATTGTGGTTCTAAAGTGATAAATTTTTTAGTTTATCCCCAATACCAGGGCAACTTCCCGCCCAATCGCTATGGCATTCGGCCGGGCTATCGCTGGGACGGCGTCGACAGGTTTGTAGCGTGGTTTAAAGATTAAAAAAATTTCATTTTTCTCGATTGAGCTCTATCACAAAGCAAAAATTCCATTCCCACTTAAGATATCTCTTTTTTTTAATCTTATTATTCCAGGGGCAACGGCTTCGAGGGCAAGATCGCGCTCGAGAGCAACCGCCGACGCGCCAACGAGGGTGAATACTACCAAAACATCCAGACGTACGAATAGCCGATGTTGTTGTCTGTTTTTGTGATTTTCACATCCGGTTCCTCCAATCCGCTCTTCTCGGGTGCTGTGGATCGTTGAGCGCGGTATAAATTTATTCCGTTGCATTTATAAATAAGGGCAGACAGAAGAAAGGACACCCATTGATCATGGTTGCATAGTGTTTTGGGGGAGAGATGGATGGTATGGGCGTTTGTTCGATCACAGACGGATTGAATCTCGGGCGGGCGGGCGAATCTCTAACAGAGATATACGAGCGGAGATGGTGAAGGTAATATACCTTACGGGTTTTTTGGGGGTGGATTGGGATATTTGGGGAGCGAGGAGAAGCTAAAAATGGGCTTGAAACGTAATTTAGGGTTTGAAAGCTTGCTATTTCAAAGTTTTTGAATAATTTGAAATTTTGAGGAATAGAACTATTTAATTTAGTTTGGAAGTATATGCAAGCATACTGGCTCAAGAAAAACGTAATTTGGAAGATGAAAACTTTTAATTTAAAGGGCTGCCGACGGCATGTGTCGCCCCTCATCAACAATTGGCAGTAGCCAACAGGGGGGGGCCCCAGGAGAGGCGCAGAGACATTTCTTTCCCGCGTAACCGATTGTCTATGCCGTCGGCATCCCTTTAAAGGTTTTGAACCGTCATGACGTTTTTTTGAGCAATAATCATTTAGAGGGATTGTAAAGCGTTTTCAAGCCCAGATTTAGCTTTTCCCCACGGGACCCAAAACACTCCAATCCTCCCAAAAAGGGCAACACTTGCCCAGAACAGCTAATCACAGACAATTCAAAAGCGATGAAAGCATCAGCAAAAAATGTAAGGCACCAGTCTGGCGGGAATCGAGAAATGGATATTGATCTTTTCTTGTTTAGTTGTTAATTTCTTTCTTGGCGTTGTTGCGATTTCTTGGAAAGACGCTGAGATTGTGAGAAAATGGCTGCGGCGGTGGCGGCGGCGACATCAGCAAGTTCGGTTTTTACGCAAACTGGTTAAGGCTGTAGCGCTGCTGGAGTAGCCGGGTGCAGCCGGCCTTTTGTCTGAAAATCGAATGTTATAGTTTGTTTTACCCAATATAAGTTTTATAAGTTTAAAAGCTCGTTTGACAAATTTTTCGCGCTCTGCTAGCTAATTCAGGAGCTTTTGCAATATCGGGGGAGGCTTTTTAGTATAAAACTACAAGCTTTAGAAACACTTCCGAGATATGATTTTATACCTAGTTTTCACCTTAAAGTATTTTTCGACAGTTTTATGCTAGTTATTTTTAAATCACGATTTTTTTAATAGTTATGGGGGAATTTTCTGAATCTTCACCTGTAGTGTGGAAGGACGCGGAATGGCGTGCCGTGGCCCGGCACGATCCAGTCGGCCATGCAGATGATCAGGTTGGCGTTCTGGCGTTTGATTGCCGAGTCCCACACGCCCTCTTCGGACATGATGTCGCGCTGCAGTTTTTGTGTTTATTTAATAGTCAATTGATCGTTTTGTATTTTAAAAATATAATTTGAAAAACCTACCTTTTCAGCGATGAGCTGCTCGTTGGGGATGAGGTCGCCGGTGACGGCCATCGTTCCGTAGCCGGCCACGTTGTGAACGAGGACGGTCAGATCGTGCTGAAACGGGTTAAAATGGCTTTCTGAAAAATTTTTAGTTACCTGGGTGTGGCCGGGCGTCTTCCAGACCTCGACATTTTGCGAGACCTTTCGGTATGGTCGCTGAAAATCGATTTTTTACTGACTTTTTTTAGCAGATTTTAAAGTTTTAAAGTTTTGAAAATTTTGATTTAAAATTTGTTTTGAGAGCTACCTAACGCGTTAAGCTTGGGAAAACGCCGAAATCCCGACAGCTGATAATCCCAACACCCGAAATGTCGAAAGCCAAAACACGCAAATGCAAAAGCTGTTTAAAAGGGCTGGCATTGAGACTAGCGCCAAGAATCTGTCGGGATTATGACATTCGGCATTTTGAGTGTCGGTATTTTGGCCTACCGGAAGTTTGTCGGTATTTTGGCTAATAGGATTTTGGTTTTTGGGATTCTTCCTGTCGGGATTTTGTCTAGCCAGGTCATGGTCATTGGATTGGCTTTCAGGATCTTGTCCTGTCCGCTTTTTAGGTGTCGGTATTTTGGCCTGTCGGCATTTTTTCTGGCGGGATTATGACTGGAAAATGTTCAAGTTTCTATTTTCGAATTCCACTAGCAAAATATAAGTTTTTGAAGCTTTAAAAGTCCTTGTAAGCAAGAAAAAAGCAGAGCTAAAACCTGGAATAATTTTCAGGATTTTTAGGTTGAATTTTAGTGACTTTAAATTCCAAATTTTGCAAAAAACTCACATCCTTCAACTCGGTGGGCGTGACGTGACGGCCGATGAACTCGAGCGAGTGGAAGAGGATGGGCTTCTGGCCGAAGAAGTTCAGGTTGCCCATGACGCCCGGGTGGGCATGGGTGACGACGATGGCGCCGATCTGGTCGAGCGTCACCTCCTCCTTCGCCAGGCCTACAAAATGTCGATAAAAAATTCAAACGGTAAATTTTGTTTTGTACATTAGCTAATCGGCTAAAGTTCCCTCTTCAAAGCCATTCACTTCAGCGAATTTCAACTCGCAACACCAGCTGACCTGACCGACAGACGAACGTTTTCGGCAAGATCAGGGGGCCCTTTTGGACTCAAATTGGGGCCCCGAAGCACTAATTTGCATTCGGAAGAAAGGGCGCGGGGGCACGTCTGGCCCGACAAATCCACGCACAGCGGCGCCAAAGACCGACACGTGACCCTGGCGGACATGGTGAAGCTCGCGAAAAGCCGGCAGGGGAATGTGATTTGCATAAAATAAGGAAAATCGGGCGCTAGACGTTTATGGGCTTTTGAGGGTGCTTTTAGATTGGCGCGATTTTGGCAACTTGAAAGTTCCGGGTCTGCAAAAATTTTCCAGACTCTGGTAGGCGTGAGAAAGCGCTAAATATCGATAATATTGACAATAATCTATTCATTCTATAAAAATAGGAGGACATTTGGGGTATTTATATAAACAAACTTTTTTATAATTAATTTAATTTGACATTTTTAAAGTTTAATTTTACGGTTTAGCCAAATTGTTTAAGCTTTGAGAAAAATGTAAAAAACGCCTACGTCATATAATTTCTTTCGCGTCAATTTAGAAACTTTTTTAAAAGTCTCTAAGCCACTTTTTGCACCCTTTTAACTTTTTCTAAGGCTTAAGTGCAGTTTACCCCCCCTCAGCCCTAACTTTTCAGCCATACGTCCTATTAATGCGCCGAGTATCTCAAAATGTTCGCCGTGGTCGAATTACTATAAAAAAGTTGTTTTCTTTCATCAAAAATTGTTAGAAAATTTTTTATAAGAATTATAAGTCTGGGTTTTCTTTAGTTAATTTTTGCTGTTCCAAAGTGAGTTTTCGTATCTCGGCTATCTTTTGACGTACAGAGCTGTCAATAGTACCAAAATGTAGCTCTTGCTCTGGAGAATAAGCCTACAGTACGTTTGAGTCGAAAAAAATAGCGGAAAATAAAAATATTGGAGTTTTAGACTCCTAGTACATCGAAGCATAGCGGCTTAATCTTTTCAACTTTCAAAATCTTGTAAAAAAATTTTTAGCAATTTTTGCCGCAAGAAAACAACTGTTTTATAGTAATTCGACCACGGCGAACATTTTGAGATACTCAGCGCATTAATAGGACGTATGGCCGAAAAGTTGCGGCTGGGGGGGGTAAACTGCACTCTAACCTTTTCTAAAACCGATTTTGCCACTTTTAAGGTTTCTATTTTTAGAATCGAAAAAAACGCCACAACACGTAATTGCATGCGTGCAAACCTTTGGTCCGCATTAAAAAAATATAACTGTAGCGTAGCGTGGCTCTAGAGCAATTTTCTCTAGATAAAAGTGCTGAATTGGAGCTGTTGCTGGAGTGGCGGCTCCCTCGAATATCCATTCAGCCCGTTCAGCCCGTTCATTCCGGCCAATTTACATCCCGTCGAGTGATTTAGGGCGACGCCCGGGTTCACAAATTCCGCCTGATGCGCCAGATTTGATTCGTCAGGCCGTATCGTCTCGTATGGGGCGGCCAGCTGGCCGGATGATTCAAGGCGGGGTAGATGGCGCTTGGGCGTCTCGGGCGCTAATTGGCCTTTTCCGGAGTAGGCGCGTCGGCGTTTTTGGCGAAGGACCGCTTCGCGGATCTCGCGACGGGTCATGCCGCGATAGCATTGCACTAATAGGACGAGCAGCCAGAATTGGATGATTGTGGCGACGGTGCCGATGCCGACTAGAATGCGTGGGTTTGGAACTGTGAAAACAGTAGGATTAAAGCTGGGAAAATCCGCCAAGATTCTCTGCTAGTCTGCCCTTGGTTTTTCCTACTTTTTTAGGGCGAAAAGTATGAGTTTCCTAAGGATGGAATCACGATGGAATTGGTAAAACTAATGCAAAAAAATTGCGAAATTCCCAAGGTTTCTGCTAGCTTACCTTCGTTTTTTAGTTGTTTTTTTTGCAGTTTGCCAAAAATTCTCTGCTAGGTTCTTAATTCAACACAATTTTTTGAAATTTTCAATTCTTTAGATTTATTTGTATAGAAATTTAATGCAGCGTATTTAGCGATTTTCTAAAGCCAATTCCCACCCAAATCCCGCACCTATAATCATAGCCGCCATTTCCATGGTGGTCCGCTGTTCATAGTAGTCGAGCGGAGTATTCTCCGCAATCAACCGCCCGACCACCGAGAAGTCGTTTTGGATGAAAAACGCGAGCAGCGCCGTCGCCGCCAAGCACATCAACACCGTGATCGTTTTCAACACGATTTTCGGGACGAGGAATAGGCTTTTCCCAGCGGCCAGTCCCGCCCACGCCAATAGTATGCAAATTATATGGACGGAATATAGGCACCCGCCCGCCGTCACGGCCGCTGTCGAGAACGAGTTGTACCTGGAGACGCACAAAAAATGGTTGTATCTTGAAAATGGCGAAATTCGACGATTGCCGGGTACTTGTTTTTTTAGCGGGGGAGCTAATTTCTTTTATTCAACCTATATAAACGCTATATAAACCTTTGTAATAAGCTTGAACTGTTCTATACTATTTTTTATTCTTCCTATAGCTAAAAAGCGATGAAAGGCTTAAAAAAATCAGATTTTTTGACAATTTTGCCGTATTATTGTTACAAAATTAAAAAGATTTGACAATTTGTCGTCAATTTTTCCCAAAAAAAATTCAAAAATTTCAACAAATTCGTTTATTTAAATTCTAGGTCTAAAAACTTCTGTAACTTCTGTAAAAATCGCCTTATATTAGGCCTTTGGATACAGGAAAATCCCCCCCGCTAATAACCCAGCACCGATTGCTGTACCGTTGCAGCTTGAAGAAATGGATGCATTTTAAGAAGGCTGCGGTGAGGAAGGCCAAGTCAAAAATGGTGGTCAGCGCCGCGTAGGATTTTGTGTGCCGACGACGCCGGCAAGCGCAGGAGGCGTCCAGCTCGAGGTCGTCGGAGTCCATAGCCGCAGCCTGGGGGTACGGTAGATTGGTCAGGGATAGGAGATGGGTAGTGTTGGGAAATTTGCTCGGCTCGAAAACCGAGCGGCTCGAAAACCGAGCTTTTGGCGAATTCGAGCCGCTCGGTTTCATGGCTCGAAAATTCGAGCCGAAAACCGAGCGGCTCGGTTTCTCGGCTCGAAAATTCGAGCCGGAATTCGAGCCGCTCGGTTTCTCGGCTCGAAAATTCGAGCCGAAATTCGAGCCGCTCGGTTTCTCGGCTCGAAAATTCGAGCCGAAATTCGAGCCGCTCGGTTTCTCGGCTCGAAAAACCGAGCCGAAATTCGAGCCGCTCGGTTTCTCGGCTCGAAAATTCGAGCCGAAATTCGAGCCGCTCGGTTTCACCCATGGCAAAACCGAGCCGAAAACCGAGCCGGCTCGGTTTTCACAATGATTGTGCCAAATACTCTTGAATATTCAACAAGAAAGTTTAACGTCCATGTTATGGTGTAAATTTCGATGAAAATTGGCAAGCTTAAACGCTTCTTGATGATTCGTTCTGGCTAGTGTTCGTATTATTATTTCGATTTCACATCCTTTCTACTTAGTTTGCTTATCAAGATTACCCATTCTCCTGGTTTCTATTTTGCTTTCTTATCATTATTACTTTTTCTCAACCTTTCTACTTAGCTTTTGATCAATATTATTCTTTCGCATCCCTTCTATGTAGTTTTCTGATCAATTTTACGCTTTCTCAACCTTTCTACCTAGTTTTCTGATCAAATTTACCCTTTCTCAACCTTTCTAGCTAGTTTTCTGATCAATTTGACCCTTTCTCATCCTTTCTACCAGGTTTTCATGCATTTCTCCTTTGCGCAACAACTTCGTAAAGAACCTCGTGTTTTATAGATGGAAGGTGGTGAACCCTCGACGCCCAAGCGCAAAGAGCCAAAGCAACGGCAAAAGTGAGTTTTAACCGTCTGATTTTGTTTCCTGTCTTTATTTTATCAATCAAAAAACATCTTTTAGTTTCTCCCCCGTGAACCTTCATTCGGTGCTGAAGGAAGGGGAGGGCGTACGAGAATGTCTCCACTGCAACCGCCAGTTTCAACATCGCGAAGCCCAGACGACAAGTGCGTTGCTACGACATCTACGCAGTGAACACGCGGAGCACTTGCAGGTAAAGCTATTTGTCTTTTTTGGACAAGAAAACTTAGGTGGAGAAAGAAAACTTGAGTCCACAGCTGCCCCCGAAGAAAAAGCACAGAGGAAAGGCGCAGGGATCCGAATATCAGGTAAACATCCTGCGTCATTACGAAATGCTTGATTAAGGAGACCGGAGAAAAGCTGTTGTTGCAGTGTGTGGCAGGGCTGAATTTCACCTTCAACAGCGTTGATAGTTGGCGTTTCAGGTATGAGAAAATTTTGTTTGATGCATGGACATTGTTTAGACTATTCACGGACCACATCTCGGGCAACAGGTTTGATGCCCCCAATAGGAAGAAGCTGAGCGGTCCGTTGTTGGATAAGCAAGTGACGGCGCTAAAGGTAATTAGATTTTTTAACACACGATGCTCTGCAGGAACCGGCCAAGGCTCTGCTAGCTAAGGCATCGTGGGTTGCATTGTCGACAGACGGCTGGTCAAGCTCCTCCAATAAGGTTTCTCTGCAATGGTATGTGCGTCTTTTCCCGCCAAAATTTTGTTCTTTCCTCAGTGTTATGGCACATTACAACGACGCGAACAACAACCCGGTCTTGGTCGTACTGGATCTGGCCGACACCACAGATATTTCCCACACAGGAGCAGAATTATCAACGGTATTGCAGAGGTTCTTTTGGAAGTTTACAAATTTAGAAAATGCTAGCGGCTGTAGCTGAACATGGCATCGATCCTAAAAAGGTAGTGGCGATCACGACCGATGGGGCTTCAAACGAGAAGGCGGCGGCCACGATTGTGTTGGATCATATGGAATTTGGGTATGGATTTTGCTGAAGCTTTAAATTATCACTTAGGCCAGGAGAATGGGTGCATTGCTTCTGCCACCTGATCCAATTGGTGGTGAATGTCGGGATGAAGGATCCGAAAATTCAATCTACGATCGACGTCATCCGCAAGGCATTCGTTAAAATACGTAAATCAAGGCCGTTAAAAGTCGATTTTGCGAGGTGATTTGTTGTTTTTATTAGCGAATAACCTCGCCTAGGATTTTGCAAGAGCGAGGGCTGCCGATTAGATGCGTGATGCTCGATTGTCCGACACGTTGGAGTGGTGGCTACGAGATGCTGGGCTTCTTCCTGCAATACGTAAGACTGTTTACTGTCACTAACTGCCAATAATAGGCCCCAGCGTTGCTGGAACTTGACCGCAGTCGCCGCGATGGGATTGGCTTAACATCGGAACTGGCCCCGATCTGTGATGTACTGCGCAAGTCGCTGAAAATTTTTCATATTTTCACGAAAGAGGTAACTTAAGCGTCTTTTTTGCATATTCTTTAGTTCTCCAAGGAAAATTCCACGATTATGGAATATCTATATGCGCTAGCTGTGCTCCGAGGCAGCTTAGTTAACGATCAACGTGACGATCTAGGCGATTGGGAGGTGCAGATGAAAGAACGCATAAAAACCGACCTTGCGAAGCGCTACCTGGTTGGTTATACTTCAACCCTTCAACCCAATTTAGGCGGCCCGTAACAACAAGATGCTATTGGCGGCGGCGGCGTTGAGCCCATTCTGTATTGCGAACAAGCAGTTATTCACCGTCAAGGAAATCGACGAACATCTGGATGCTCTGCTTTCTGTTACCAAAGGTAAGCTGCTTTGAAGTTATTACATGGTAATTCTATCAGAAGTCATCGAAGCGGACGCCGAGGTGCTCGCCGACGATGATATCGAAATGAGCTCGGTGGGGTTAGATGTGAAGTCCGATCCTGCTCAGGTAAAAATTTCGCCTTCCGTTCAGCCATTCATTATAGTCCTCACAGTGGTACGACGAGGCCCTTAATTTCCTGCAAGGAACAGCTTCTCCCCCCACTCCCGTCGTCTACCGAGAATTCGATCTCAATGATGTTATCAATGTTTGTTTTTCCTGCATACCACCATTACATTAATAGGTCGAGCTGGCGGAATTGATGAATCAACTGACGGTATCTCCTCCCCCGCCGTATCTATCACGGGAAAGCTACATCCGACATTTTTGGGCGCGAATTCGTGGATGTCCGAAGTTGCAGAGGTAAGGCTTTTCTCTTCATGAGTTCAAGTTTTAGTGTGGCTAACATGCTGTTGACCCTCCCAGCCACATCGGTTGCTTGTGAGAGAATGTTCAGTCGGGCGAGCCTCCTTCACTCCAATCCACGCCGAAATAACCTTAAGCCAGAAACCTCCAGCAAATTGCTAGTGGTCAGCCACCTACAAGCATACGAATATGTTAAGGAAGTCGAAAGGTATTTTTATTTTGTAGTTACAATTTTGCTTTAGAAACTACCTGATCGATCCTGAATACCCGGTTCTATCATACCTGGAAGCCGAAAGCAAGCACATTGCAGAGGAATTGGTTGAGGTAAAGCCTTTCTTTCGGTCTAAATCGCATTTTCTAGCATGCTGAACGGGCGACGATTCTCGCCTCGTACTTCCCGGACGACGAGTCGTTGCAGATCAGCGAGTACGGAAACTAATGAACATAGTGCAATTCGTTTGCTTCTTGATTCCTGCTATTCGTTGTTTTTGTTCTGGAAATCCGTTGTCTGGTTATACCTTAAAAATCCTCCCGCCTTGATCCCTCCTTTATTGTTATAGTATTTTCACAAATTTTACCTCTGACAACTTTTGATCTGAGTATGCCCTCTAACAATTCTTCGCGGAATAAATGCGTTATTCACCAGGCTGGTTTTTCTATTTCCCAGCCATCCACCCTGCCCGACAAGTTATTCGACGTTGCAACTTTCTTGTTGAATATTCAAGAGTATTTGGCACAATCTTTGTGAAAACCGAGCCGGCTCGGTTTTCGGCTCGGTTTTGCCATGGGTGAAACCGAGCGGCTCGAATTTCGGCTCGAATTTTCGAGCCGAGAAACCGAGCGGCTCGAATTTCGGCTCGAATTTTCGAGCCGAGAAACCGAGCGGCTCGAATTTCGGCTCGGTTTTTCGAGCCGAGAAACCGAGCGGCTCGAATTTCGGCTCGAATTTTCGAGCCGAGAAACCGAGCGGCTCGAATTTCGGCTCGAATTTTCGAGCCGAGAAACCGAGCGGCTCGAATTTCGGCTCGGTTTTTCGAGCCGAGAAACCGAGCGGCTCGAATTTCGGCTCGAATTTTCGAGCCGAGAAACCGAGCGGCTCGAATTTCGGCTCGAATTTTCGAGCCGAGAAACCGAGCGGCTCGAATTTCGGCTCGGTTTTTCGAGCCGTGAAACCGAGCCGCTCGGTTTTCGGCTCGGTTTCGGCTCGAAAACCGAGCCGAGCAAATTTCCCAACACTAGAGATGGGTCGTGAAGATGGAAAACAAGAAAAAACGCTGCAGATCAGAATTGTAATAGCTTAGACTCGGCTTAGGCTCAAACTAGGCAAAACAGCAGCAAAGCAGAAACGCAAATTTTCCTATAAACTCCTAACGATCGCAAATTTTTGGCAACGCCTAAGTCCTCGGGGCATAAAATGGCCTCAAAATTGGGGGTGTTCCGGTGAGTTGGGCCCTTCCCTTCGACAAGGGCCCATCCCTGCCAGTGGCCCAATAAAGGGATTGGGACCCAAAGGGCCAAGGAGGAGGGGGGGAGGTGAAGCCGGGAGAATTGGATGGGGAGGCCGAAGCGGCCGGGTAGGCAATTCGGTGCGCAGAGTGGATTCCGCCCATCGGGTCTGGGCTTCATGTGGGCATGGGGGTACTCCACCTGAAGATTGTCCGGAAAGTTGGAGGGGTTGAGCTTTAGACTAGGGCTGCGGCTCTTTGACGTTTCGATTGATGTTTAGGCTTAAGCTTAGGATTGGGCTTAAGCCTAGGCTTAGGCTTAAGTTAGGCTTAGGCTTAGGCTTAGGCTTAGGCTTAAGTTAGGCTTAGGCGTAGGCTCAGGCTTATGCTCAGGCTTCGTTCTGGCGCAACCTTGAAAAGCTGACAATCACTTGGTTTCAACACTACTGAACTCTTTCAGGGTCCAAGGACCAAACCAAAGACCTAAAAAACGGCTTTAAACCCACTCACAGACAATTTGAACCCAATTGCCCAGCCAAATCCACTTTTCCAGGTGGATTGAGACTCCCCCTGGATCTCCGGAAAGAGATTGGAAACTCGAAAAAAAACAGAGAAAATGGTTTAGAAAAGCTGAAAGCTGACTGTGGAGGAGCCGCTCGGTGTCGGAGGACGAGCCGGTGTCGATCAACAGGTAGAAGCCGTTGTCGTTGACCAGGGTGATGGCGGACACCATTTCTTGCTGGCCATCCTGGAATTGGGCAGTGGTTTTCCGGTTTGAAGGGCTTCAAAGACCCGGGAAAGCCATTGAAAAGGCTTAGAAGGCATCCTTACAGATTTTTGCTACAGCCTACCTTCAATGTGCGGATCGATCCGGCCTGCAACACGGAGACGTTGACGGTAGAAACAGGCGGCGAGGTAGTGGTCCACAGACGTCCCCAAGGGTTACTAAAATTCTCTCCCTTTTCTAGCTACGCTACACTCCAACTTACGCCTTCTTTGGGACCGGGGCGGCAGTCGTGGTGGTGGTCGTCGTGGGGGCGGCGGTCGTCGTTGTGGTGGTGGTCGTGCTGGAAAACCGATTTTAAATTGATCTGCCGGCTTTAAAGGGGCGCTGAAGTCTGGGTTTACCTTTATTTTACTCGTCGCCTGAAAAAGCATGAGGTCAAAATGCATAAAATCGCGCTATTTGTTATGCATTTTCGCATGGCGTAGCTCGCGCTGGGTGGACTTTGAAATTTCTAGCGAAAATCAGTCGCAGAGTGAGGCTACGAAAGAATTAAAATTAAGCAAAAAAATATCCTACTATATATAAAAAAATAGTGTCTGTGTGTTAGTTGTGTGTGTGCCACTTTGCATGCAACTTCCGTCAGCGTGTCCGGAAGATATCTCAAGAGGGGAAGGGTGTTAGGCTACGTATGATACGTCATTAGGTGCGTCATGGCTCTGGGATGACTGCACACATATCAAATGTTGCAAATTATGTTCTTTTCGACATTAAAATTAAGTTTTTGTTGCAAAATCGGCCGCTCTCTTTGTTAGGAAAAATTAGCATACTCCGGAAGTGGCGGAAGCCTATATATAATGCGAGAGAGGGGCGTTTTTCATTTTTTTCAAAGCAGATAATTCGAGAGACGCATGTAGAGTGAAGAATATTATCGGGTTGGACGGGGCCAGGGTTGAAAAGTCGCGAAGCGGCTTTTCAACCCTGGTTGGAATTAAATTAAATTCGACATGGGTCAAAATAAGGCAAAAAAGCGCTCCAAAACTTCAACTAAACGTTTCAAAGATCGGATAAGGGCAAAATAGGGTAAAAAAGGTACGTGGTGGTTGTGGTTGCGGGGGTGGTGGTTGAGGTGGTGGTCGTGGTGGTGGCAGGAGTAGTCGAGCGTTCAGTCGGCGGGGCAAATGTTTCCTTGGTCGGGGTGACACGGTTGTAAGCCGATGTCCAGCCGGTCCTACAAATTATACGGGGGGTACAATAAACAGAGGAATGCCGATTAGTGGATTTTCCGTAGGAATACCGACATAGTTAAAATTTCAACGTTCACAATGCCGACGTTTAAATAAAAATTTGAAATTGTTAAATAAAAATAAAAAATTAAGTGCCGAAATTTTTGCTGTCGGCATTTTTGCTTTTCCCGATTAATCAATGTTAGTTACTGTTGACGCAGTACGTCGTTATAAGAAGGGGTTAGGGACAGAAAGAAGATTAGAGAAGTGGTGAGTACGCAGCGCTACGATTTATTTCGGCGTTAGAACCGTTAGAAAAAGCTGTTAAAAAATCCTGCTGTAAAAACCCTCGAAAGCACAGAATCGTAAATAGAAGCATTCCGTTAGCCAGCACACCTGTCCTTTTTGATGTACCACGGGGTGTTCTTGGTCGTCAGCGGGTTTTTGGTCTGGGAAGAGCCTGGCTGCCCGGGCACGGCTGGTGTTACGGTATTCCAGACGAACGGCGGGCGGGCGGACGAGGCTGGAAACTACGTCGTTAAACTTAGTTAGGTCAATTTCGGCTTTCTCAATTTTTGAAGGAAAATCCCCAACCCCCCCCCCCCCCCCAACCCCCCCCCTTATAAAAATATTTTTTTAAAAAAAAAAACCCCAAAAAAAGCAAACCCCACCCCCCCCCCCTTTTTTAAAAAAAAATTTTTTTTTATTTTTTTTTTTTTTTTTTTAAAAAAAAAAAAAAACCCTTTTTTAAAAAAAAAAAAATAAAAAAATTTAAAAAAAATAAAATTTTTTTTTTAACAAAAAAAAAAAAAAAAATTTTAAAAAAAAAAAAAAAAAAAAAAAAAAAAAAATATTAATAAAAAAAAAAACAACAAAAAAAAAAAAAAAAAAAAAAAACCCCCAAAAAAAAAAAAAAAAAAAAAAAAAAAAAAAAAAAAAAAAAAAAAAAAAAAAAAAAGGGCCCCCCCCCCCCCCCCCACACCAAAAGAGCGGGGTGCTAGGGTCGCCGGGACAGCGGGTCGAGCCTCGTAACCATTTACGGTAGCCATCTGCGCAATTTTGGAAATTTCTGAACTTTCAAAGGTAAAAATCGAGGGTAAAAATTTTCCCTTAGCTTTTCCTAGATGTTATATCTCTGATTCATCTGTCCCTTTATTCCCCCCAGATCACGGTCGATTGGGCCTGGAAGGTGTTGAAGCCCGCGGGGGGGCGTTATTTGGTGTGCGTCGTCGTCGCCCCCGAGAAGGCGCGCCGCGCGCCAGCAGACCCCAAATATTGACCCCAGACAGTCTCTGGTTCTCTCTCTCTCTCTCTCTCTCTCTCTCTCTCTCTTCTCTTTTCTTCTTTGGATTGATAGATAATAGATATCCCGAGGGTGGGGGGGGCTGAAGCGCTGAAAGCGGCTGCACGTTTCCGCCCGATTTTCTGGAGCTATGGGAGATCATAGGACCCGGGAGCGCCCTGGGCCCAAGAAACAAAAATTGGGCTTTTGTTGGATTACAAGGGACTGAGGAGCCAGAAATCTTCATAAATGTGCAAAAAAATGTGCAAGATAAAAGATGAATTCGTAATGTATTCTAGTTTGGGATTACTGTAGGCGGCCAGCCTTCCGGGTTCCTTTAAAACTGGAAAAACAATAATTGAAAAACTGACCGGTAACCGGACGGTTGGGGGTGGGCTGCTTGGGCCGGGTGTCGCGGCAGCAAATCGATCTGAAAATGAGACAATCGTTGGGGTTTTAGGCTTAGGCTTGGGCTTGGGCTTGGGCTTGGGCTTAGGCTTAGTTTAGGCTTAGGCTTAGGCTTAGGCTTAGGTTAGGCTTAGGCTTAGGCTTACCGGATTAGCGACTTACCTTCCAAGCACAAAGCTCTGGTCGCACAGATAGCCAACGGGGCAATCTCCAAGGGTCGATGGGCGGCAGTAAGCAAAGTCGCCGGTCAGGATCAGCGGGTCCGCGTTGAACGGGCATACTGTAAATGGGGGTGAATATTAGAAATTAGGCGGGGGCTTAGGCTTAGGCTTACTTTAGGGATTACCTTGTTTTTCCGAAAATTTGCTAAAAAACGATTTTCCGAACCCCCAACTCGATCTTTTGACCCCACTGGCTGCATTATTATTTACCCTTCTCCAACCAGGTCAACTACACTACACTCCAAAAAACGCCTGGGGGGCGAACGACCCCCGTTTTCAGCGTCGATTTGAGGGTACTGGCTGTTGCTAGCCGTCCGTCCTTAGCATCGAAACGGACTCGGGCTCTGTCCGTTTGTAGCTGCTGTCTATGTGTACACATGACTCCCTCTTTTTGCCCATATTTGTTTTTGGGTCCCGGAGCAACGGCCAAGCCATGTATTCCCCCAATTTCGGACCGGACGACGCGACACTACGCCGCAACCGATCGGCTGCAAAAAGTGATGCATCGAAATTCCGGGTCGGCTCAAGTATTTTGTGCGATTCTGTGTCCCGCATTAGAGCGGAGCGCCACGGAACGGAAGATCGGAGTGTTTTGGTTTTTTGGTTTTTGACAAATACTGTAGTTTTTTTAGGAGCTCTGAATTTTTGGAAAAACTTGAGAAGTAGAAAAATTGAATATTTATCAAAATTTCAGCATTTTTCTAGGCTAATGACGAAATTTATTCAGCTTTAGTGCGAAAAGAATAAAAAAAATGCAAATTACGATGCGCTACGCTGTATGAGAACCCGCGACGTCACGCTACGCCACGATACGTTCAAGGATACAGCGTCATGGGAATTCTAGACTCATGTTAGCTTAGGCTTAGGCTTAGGCTTAGGCTTAGGTTATTAGTCTTAGGTTTAGGCCTGCTTACGTATGGTTCTTGTAGACCTGTTTTAAGAAAATCCTCGAGCCCCAGTTCCGTAATTAGCCCTCTTTGCGTACTTTCAGAGACCTCCGCAGGGGTGAAGATCGTGTGGGATTTAGCGCGCAGCGCAATGGGGGGAAAAGCGCGAAAAAGCAAAAGACAAACACGGCGAGTGGGGGCGAGGCTCACGCCGACCAGTCAACGAGACGATACTCACACAAATTCACTAGCCTACCAGGGCTTCTGGGGGTCATTAAAGGGACTGGGAAACCGGGGACCTTTCGCGCCGTACAAAAAAAAGGCGTAATTTGGCGGAGATAAATTGGATTGAGCTGAAAGTTTCAGCTATCGTTTGCAAAAACCAAAAGCTATAAGCTGGCAAAATATTAGAAGGTGACACCGTAAGTTAGAAAAGTTATAGTGGCAATACGGCCTCAAGCATTCGAGGTTTCTAGACAGCTGTGCCATTTTGACGATAAAAGTGGGACAAAGCTAAGATTTTTAACAGCGATTTGGCAAACCTAAATCTATGTTTTGAAAACTTTTTTGAAATTATAGCAAAAAAATACGGCAGTTTTCTGATTTTGAACCTATGCGCATTTAAAAATGATAAAATAAGAAAAACCTGGGGTTTTAGAGCAGCATCAACTAGTAGAAAATTACGTAGATCAGGCAGATTGTTTGAATTAAATTTGACGAGGGACTTTTCGAGGCCAAAAATGACCAAAATTTGGTTTCTAAAGACTAGAATGACAAAGGAAAAAAAAAAGGGAAAAAAAAATTGCCCAGGGCAATTTTGGGGGTTAAAAATGATTAAAATTATGTAAATTAGCTAACAAGCTGTAAGATAAAGAAAAAGCATCGATCAATTTTAAACCTCTAAAAAACTCACCATCCCTATTATCAACAATCGGGGGCGTTGTTGTGGGTTTCAACGTGGTAGTCGGCCGTTCGGATGTGGTGCTCGTAGTCGTCGTCGTGTCAGCGCCGAAACCGAATAACCTGAAGATGTTTATCAATGTGTTAAAAACTACTATTTAGACTATAAAACATCGCAATCTAGAAAAAATACTGACCTAAGGATCGTCTGTGCAATGTCACCATCGCCAACACCATCCGGCAAGCTCTTCCGGTTGGCGACTATCCATTGCCGGAGCTGCTCCGTCGTTGCCGGGCTGCCCAGTGCTGAAAAAAAGATTGGTGAAATTTCATTTTAAGTAGTTTAATCGGTTACGACGCGGAATTCGCGACGCTGGATCGGGTTTTCCGGAAAGGTTTATCCGATTACGAGTGGTAATTGGTATTCTATTTTTGTTGGATTTTACTGATTACGACATGTAATGTCAACGCTGCTTCGGCGTTTTTAACAAACGCTTAATCCATTACGGCATTTACTTCGTCATGAAGGTTCATTTCTACAGAGGTTTGCTCGATTACGATAAGTAATTCTGGAATTTGGTTAGTTTTAAGCGATTACGACATTTTTCATGACACGCAGCTGATTTAATTCATTACGACATTTAATACGAGTTTCAGGGCGTTCGAAAATCTTCAAATTGTTGCGCCATGAAATCCTCCTCTTCTAAGCCCCTTTAAAATCTGGAAAATTATGCAATTTTGGATCATACCGTATGCAACTGATTGGGCCGAGGTAGCTCAAAAATTCCAAAAACAGCCCGTAAACGGAAATCTAGGCTGTTCCGGAATTTTACGGATTGCACCCTCTTCCGGTTTTTTCCGGAATCGAGCATTCTCATTTTTCTAAGGCTACGAAAAACTTCGAAAGGCTTCTAAAGGCCTCTCTATCTTTGAACCCCGACGAATCTCAAGCCCCGGTTGGACAAGACGATTCCGGGGCACTCCTATTTGCACCCGGGGGAAGCTTATTTCGGCTTCCAGGACGAACACGATCTCCCCGATTCCGCGAGATTCCAAAAGCCAATCTGGGGGGGGGCGAACGTTGAAAGATGACCCGCAAAAGGAACACTGACCCAAGGGGGGCACTCAAAGGAACGCTGCGATGCCTCCTTCGGATGTTTCAGAGTTTCAAGCGGGAATCCCGAACGCCGACTTGAGCAAAAATAGAACCCCCGGAAAAAGCGTGTTTTGTGTTTTTCAAAGGGCTTGGGAGGTTCAGGAATTTTTCTAAAAATGGAGACATTTTTGTGTGAAAATTCCTTGCAAAGACACAAAAAAGTTGTTTTGAGCTTTTCAGAATTTGGGGTTGGAACAACTTTTTGTGAAATTCCCAGTGAAAACTAAAAAGCGCTTTTTCAGCTCTAAAGGTCTCTGCCTAATTGATTTTTTTGCTTATTTGATTTTAGCTTACCAGACTCATGTTAGGTCCAGCTATCCATTGGATGTAAATTTACTAAATCACTGTTTTGACTTTAGCTTGATAGCTTGAATAGCCAGCCTCTGTGCCATCTATCTTAGTTTAAACGGCTCTAAAAAGCTCTAAACTTTGAGAAATGCCAAATTCTATCATCTAAAGGGAGCGTTAAGGCAAAAGGTGTATTCTAAAGGGACCGGCAAGGCAATCAACATATAAAAACTAGAGCGAATTCTCACTCACCCGGTAGCACAAAGCAAAATACGAGCCACAAATTTTTGGAATACATTCAGTGCGAGGCGTTCGTCCGGAGGAGTGTCGCGTAGTCGGTACGGTAGGAGGGGGTAGGGGAAGGGAGGGAGGGGAGGGGGCGAAGAGTGTGCCCTCGGGGCTTGGGCCCCACACCCCGGACCCACCCGCCTCAAGTATCCCCCGCCCTTTGCCCCACCCCCTAGATGGGAAGAGAAGAGAAGAGAGACAGAGAGGGAGAGAGAGCGAGAGAGAGCTAAAGAGAGACATTCAGACACGCGCAAAAAATGGCAACACTCCTTAGTGACCGCCCGGTTCCGTTCACACCTCCGAACCCCTCGCTTCGGGACACAGGGCTGCGGACGGTTTGGACAAAAAGTGCGGATACATACAAGTGACTGACAAACGAAATATGGACAGACAGACGTGACCGTTGAAAGAGAGCGAGAGAGAGTGAGAGAGAGTGAGAGACAAGGCGAGTCATAGACACTAAAGTGGTGGCAACTCCAAGCTATTCGCAATGGATCGCTTGATTCTGACTTTAAAGGGGATCAGACAGCAAACTTTCCGACTTTGGGTCGGTCTATTCGCCTCCTGTTCTCTCCCGCGCTCTCGCTCTATCTCTCTCTCTTCTCTCTCTCTCTCTCTCTCTCTCCCAGATCCACACACTCTATCGCTCTCCAATTCGTCCTGCTGGTAGAGACATCAAAATTATCTTCGTACTCCAAGCCGAGTCTTACTTCATTTCGTTTTGATCAGGTGTCCCTCTCTCCACTCTCTTACTCTCTCTCCCTCTCTCTCTCTCTCCCTCTCTCTCTCTCTCCCTCTCTCTCCCTGTCTCTCACTCTTTCCGCTCTTTCGCCGTCCTCTCTCCGCGGCTAAAAACGAGAAACTAATCAAGAATTTCTCAGAAAGTTCTCCTCGCAAAATCGAAGCCTCCGATACCCCAGACTCCGCTCTTCAACGCTCCTTTAAAAACTGTCCAACCCTCCTCGAACCGATTGTACGATTGGAATGGAACGTAGTGGCGGTTGGGGTGTGTCGTGTTGGCGGACGGGGTGCGAGAATTAACACCTTGTCTCCTCCTTCTTCTCTTTCGGGGTCGGCTTGTCCCCTTCCACAGTCGATCTCCTTGCAAACACAACGGAGACAGCTAGGCGGGGAAAAGGAACGGGGCATAAGCAGATTGTGAAGCTCTCGGTTTGGTGGAGGAGACCATCCCTCCCGAAGTGGCCACAACAGGCCTAAGCAACACCGATCTCTCCAAGGTGCTCCACTTTACACCTTTCTGGAGCGACTGAAAAGGGGATTCGAAGGGATGTGTACTTGGGAAGCGCTTTTGATGGTCTTTGTTCTGGTGGTTTGCGGCTTTAAAGGGACCTGCAAGTGAAAAAAGACGCAAACTGAGGAAAGTGGATTTTTATCGTTCTAAAAACTACGTTACTTTCAGGGACCGGGAAGTCAGGAATCTGCGAAAACTAGGGGGAAGAAAAATTTGATGGTTCTAGACCGTCTTAAAACTGGTCCTAAAGGGATTGAGAAGGGGACCATCCACCTCTTTCAATTTCTCTCTTTCTCTTGCTCTCTCTCTCTCTCCACTCGTAATGTCAAGCTCCATAGAAGCCTCGTACCAAATTGAGAGTCCCCCGGTACGTGTGGCCCCAATCGAATAACGACTCGATTGTGGAGATCGGTCCGTGCCTGGGGCTCTCAATTTCAGGCCCATCAGCCCGCGCAATCTTTCCCAGATTTCCCGCACCTCACACATTACGCCTGGTCAAGTGGGTGGGGGGGGGGGCATCAGGGGGAAATCGGCCAGGTGGGGGACCGCATTGTATCGGAATCAGAGAGGCTGATAGAAATTTTATCGGGTCTTAGGAACCTGTAGAAAACTGTCTTAAAAAGAAGTTTTAAAAGGTGTAGAAAAGCTGAAATGGCCGGCTTGAGAACAAACGCAATTTTTCGATTAAATGAGGTTTTGATATGTGGGTTATCGCGTTCTCTCTGGCACTCTCCCTCTCTCTTGCTCGCTCCCTGTCTCTCTCCCGCTCTCTCTCTCTCTCACTCAGGCCCTCTCTATCTCGCTATCTCTCATTCTTTGCCTCTCTCCTATCCACTGGCAATCAAGCGCATGCGCTACGTGATTCGGGAAAAATATATCTACATCCTATCGCCTAGATTCTAGGGTTGAAGTAAAACACCTCACTTCCCAGCCCCTTTAAAATGCAAATACCACCGATTCCCCCCGGTACTCCCTCCCCTCCACCCTTCGAACTTTGCTGCATCCGGGGCCCCGTAGCAGAAGAGCGAACAATGCAATGCCCCGCGGGCACAAAAACACAGCAGGCTGGAAGTGGAACACCCAAAACCCTCCCCGCCGCCGCAACACTCTTTTTCCGGTGCAAAAAAGGTCGTCGGGAGCGCTGTCTGTAGGAGCCTTTGGTTCTCTCCCTCTCTCTCTCTCTCACTCGCTTTGGAACGGAGGTATTGTAAGGGGGGAAGGCCCGAAAACGGCCATCCCATTGTTGCGAGTAGGGCGGATGTCGCGTAGCCATCGCTGGCCACTGCGTTCCCACGCTCCTCCTAGGTCCATGCCCCCGAGCTGGGCCCGAATCCGCGGGTTTCCGAAGCGGGAACAAGGGGTCACGACCACATGGCCATGGCCCGGATCATAGGGATCGAAATTTTGAAACTGGGTATCCTTTGCTTTAGGCATAGGCCAAGGATTAGTCTTAGGCGTGGGCTTAGGCTTGGGCGTAGGCTTAGGCTTGGGCTTGGGCGTAGGCCTAGGCATAGGCTTATGCTCAAGCATAGGTAGATGCTTAGCTCAGACAGAAGCAGACTTAAGCCTAGACTTAGCTAGCTTAGGTCGGGATTGTCGTAGGAATAGGCTTAGGCTTAGGCGTTGGCTTGGCTTGGGCATAGGTTTAAGCTTAAGGTTAGGCTTACCCTAGGCTTCGGAAACTCCAATTTAAAGCTAGCGTAGCGTAACATCTCGACCCAACGCCCAAAAATGGCCCCGATTTCATTTCGAGCTTCACCTCCGGTGGCCTCACTTGCAAACCATGCACCTTCTCCCCCGCGAATAGTTGCAATTCCTTATCCGGAAGCGCGTATTGTACAAGAGCGTGCGTAGGTGTGAAGCGGTCTGGCTAGCGAAGCGGTGTTTGTGCGAAGACGCATTCTCGCGCGCGCGCAGCGTCTTGTTAGCCGATCGCACTTCTCGGCTTTCGGCCCTCCCCAACCTCCTTGAGGCCATAACAGTGGAGGTGTCGCGGGCCCCGGAGGTGTTCAACCCGAGGTGATAAGCATACAAACACATAGACAACATACATACCACATGCACGCCCCCACACAACCCATCTGCATACACAAATATACACCCAGAATACCGTAACCTGGGATGGAGTGGCTTTGTGTAGATGCACCCAGCGAGAGAAGGGCAACGGGACAACGACCAAAGCACAGAATAGAATCTAGCATCGCGTAGTAGCCATACCCTCGGAAAATTTTTGAGGGGTCAACTTGCAGAAATCCCTATGGAACCACGATTTTTTTTGAGGTTTGAAATAACCACAGCTGGCGCACGTCTATGAAGGTTTTTTGACCTTGTGAAAAGTCGGGTTCAGTTAAATTTTGCTGTGGGTGTAAGAATGTGAGCGATATTAAAAACTCGGATCCTTCCAGAATTTGTCGCAGAAGCTTAGAAAATGAGCAGCGCAAGCCATTATGCCTCCATAAAGCCGTAAAACCGCGCAAACAGCTTTTTTCGACTAACTCGAATGCTATGTCATCGAGCGAGTAGCAGCGATATTTTTTCCTGTTTTATAGGAGCTTGGAGGTACTACACAGGGAGAAGTCCGCCAGGTTTTGGCCACGTGGCCGCCAGTCCCGCCGAGGCCCCCACCCCGCCACGTGGCCGCCATCGGGCCGCCGGGTGGCCGCCACCTGGCCGCCATCGGGCCGCCACGTGGCGGCCAGGTGGCGACCAGTAGGCGAAAATCCGGCGGCCACATGGCGAAAAGATGGCAGAACGGGGGTTCCCGGGCCAGGTAATGCTCCTTCTAATATCGATTACTATTAATGCTAGTGCCGCTACTATGCATTGCAGCATTTAGAAGCAGCCTGCTTCATGTCGGGGATGCGCTGGAGGTGTGCCTGCCTGAAATATGGCGTTTTTATTTTAATTCGTCGTTTTTATATTTAGCTCTACTTTTTCTATGGAAACGGTTCTCGTTTTACTTCATACACATACTTACCTTCATCAGTGACCGATGTCCATTGCGCATACAGCATCCGAAGTTGTAGAAACAAAACTAGGATTATAGATATGGACCTACCGGACATGACTTACTTTTTTCACCGGCGTGCGAGCAGCAAAGTATCAGAGTCTTTGAGCAGCTCCTTCTGTTGCAGCTAAATAACCCATAGATGATTGAACCTTAATCATAGACTTACCCAGGATGCAATGCATTAAAATAAAAACTCACGGTTCCATAAAATAGAAACCAAAACTAAAACTTTATCAAAGAAACCAATAGCAATTGCTTACTAACCGAAATGCCATCTTCCGATGCTGTTTCCGTCACAATAATTGTCTTTTTATTTGGATCTATCTAAAATATAATAATCCTAAAGTAAATACAATACCTGAGTGAACAGACTTTGGTGATTAGTCAACGACGTGGCGTCTGTTTTCCATCTAACTAGCTAAAACTCGCAGTAAAAGTAAAGCAGAAATCAATTTACAAGCGTTTATAAAAAGTTTCATAAAAATAGATAAATTTAGCTTTGATGACAACGAAAACATTGACTGAGGCCCGAAAAAACGCCAAAGTCCCCAGAGCAACGCAATAGTACTATCCACAACTGGCGGAAATCGGGCGGAAACCTGGCGGCCACCGCCGCCAGCTTCTGGCCAAAAGCGGTACGACAGTGTACTAAAAACCCTGGCGAAATTCTGGCGGCCAGGTGGCGAAAACCGGGCGGGCCGGCGGCCATCGGGCGGGAACCTGGCGGCCAGGTCTGGCCCGATGGCCGCCAAGTTTTCGCCAGGTGACATGGCCGCCTTCAGGCGAAAATCTGGCCAAAAGCTGGCCAAAATCGGGCAGCCTGGCCGCCATCGGGCGAAAATCTGGCGGACTTTTCCCTGTGTATCTACCTACATTGTTCAGCAACGATTCTGAACAATTCTCCGTCGGGGTTGCCATCAATACGCAGTAGTACAATTGCCACAGGGATTCTGTGCCCAAAAAAGAGATGTATTACGAAAGGAGTCGGCAAAAAATAATTCTGGAAGATTTTTATTACATTTTTTTTGCTATTTTAGAAACTTTTTGATAAGCAGTTCGATACTTTAAATGCTAATAACTTATCCGCGAAATCTAACTCAACTTTTGTATCGTTAGACCTTCTAAATTCGCTTTAAAATCAAGAAAACCAACATTTATGTCAAATTTCTCACCTTTTTATTGCTTTATCCTTTCTTTCATCTAATTAACCTGATTTTTAATTTAGGTAATGGCTGCCGGTGGACAATCGGTCGTCTATCAAGCCCTCTCGGCCGATGGCCCGGATGCGGCCCCGATGGAAGTCGAGAGTCTTTGTGTGAACTGTGAAGAAAACGTAGGATCGGGTTCCTTAGCTCAGATATCTTTTTAGGGGATAACTCGTATCCTTCTCACCTCCATACCATACTACAAATCGGTGATCCTCATCGCGTTTGAGTGTCCGCATTGTGGCTATAAGAATAATGAAGTGCAAAGCGGGGAGGCTGTGCAGGTATTATGCAGGAGCTGATTTTCATTTAATTTGTAGGAACATGGCGTTGAGATTACGCTGGCTGTCAAGGAGCAGTGCGACCTGCGCCGTCAAATTGTTAGTTTTTCATTGCACGATTTATTATTTGGCTTTTTTTAGGTAAAATCGGAATACGCTTCTATTGAAATCCCGGAAATTGAGCTGACTATACCAGCGCAGCATGGCCCGGCTGGTAATTGTTAATATGAATATTGGCGATAACCAATATTTTTTAAGAGGTAACAACCGTTGAAAGTGTGCTTTCACGCGCCATCGAACGCCTAGCAGATTCGCAGCCGGCGAGAAGGTCGGAAAGGATTTATGTTTTAGAAGGATAGTTTAGAGCCCTCTCTGCCGAAGACGCTGACCAAGTTGAGGGCTTTCTGAATAAAGCGCGAGCTGCGCTGGAGCTGAAAACGGATTGGAAACTGATCTTGCACGATCCGACCGGCAACTGCTTCATCCAGAACCCTGACCCGATGCACGTGGACCCTCGTGCGATTTTGGTCCATTACCCACGGCCGGTTGCCGAGGACAAAATGCTTGGACTCGTTGACGATAACACGTACGCAAGCGTAAATTTGGGTTTATGCCCTGAGCCTTTAGAAAAGAATATGAAGAAGCAGAGCCGGTCGAACCGATTAAACGCGGAGATGAAAATCTAAAAGACGAAGTGATGCGTATCCCAACATCGTGTGAAGTTTGTAAAACCGAAGGGGAGCTCCTGATGAAGCATCTGGGTTTGATTGCAATTTTTACAATTGAGTTTCCGATCATCTAAGATATTCCGTTCTTCCAAGAGGTTATCGTAATGGCCTTTACATGTGACAATTGTGGAAACAAGTCTAACGAGATTAAGAGCGGCGGCCCGATTCGTGCTCAAGGCTGCAAATTGTCGTTGACCATTGCTGAGGTATCTTTTTAAGCCCGAAATGATATTTTTTTAGTCGATTGACCTGGCGCGTGATGTTTTGAAATCAGATACCTGTTGCATGTCGATACCAGAGCTCGATTTAGAGGTCAGCTTTGCGTTAAGTTTTTATGAAAATGCTTTAGGTTGGTTATGGCGCAATTTCCGGGCGATTCACAACGGTCGAAGGGTTGTTGACAGCCACCAAGGTATTTTGATCTGGATTGCATATTTCGGCTTTCGTTTTAGGAGCAGCTCGATCAACAATTCAAGTTTTTCACCGGTGACAGCGCGCAAGACGATGAAAAAGTTAAAATGAAGGCCCTCATGGAGTCGTTTGACCAGGTTTGCGTTTCTTTTTTGTAACGAATTGCCTCGTTTTAGATTCTTTCGCTAGAAAAACCGGTGACGCTTGTGCTAGACGACCCGGCTGGCAACAGCTATATTCAGGTTTGTTGTGCTGCGTCGCTCCACATTTTTGGCTTTAGTCTACGACAGCCCCTCTTGATGATCCGCGACTCCACAAAGATTACTACACGCGTTCCCGCGAGCAAGACGACGACCTCGGCCTGCTCGACATGAAGGTCGAAAATTATGAAAATGATGGCCGTGGCATGGAAGCCGTCATCGAGGAAGATGAGGAGAACGAAGCGAATTAAAACGTTTGCCAGATTGTTTTTTTGGTTGTTGTCGTTATGTGCATCACTGTTCTTTGTTGATGTTTTTTATATGTCTGATAAAATTTTACCGCTGAGAAATGGCTTTTATGCAAGAGGTTTGACGGTTTGAGCCGTGGAATATTGTTAATTGGGGCTCCTCGCTATATTTGTGGTTGCAAAAATGCCTAGGGCTCCTGCGGAAGTATTTTTTTTCATCCCCGTCAAATGTTTCCCTTTGGCTCAAAATACTTCTTTTACAGAGATGATTTGCGATACAGAAGATGATCAAGGACCGTATACATCATCGCCAAAACGGCTAAAAATCGATCTCGGCACGGAGAGTGACGACGCTGAATCGGTACAGAGTGAGGCGAGATCGGGAATGGTAGGCTTACTATTTTGAAAAATTACTTGTAATAGGGCCGCCGTCCACCCTTCACGAACACACATCGAATCGTCCGGGAACCTGGGAAATTCCATCTTCTCATCGGCGTCACTGGGTCCGTTGCGGCTATAAAATTGGCTGAAATGTTGAAGAAGCTGCACGAAATCTGTCCCCCGAATCGATTATTTGTGAAGGTCGGTTATATCGCGATGTGTTTATTGAAATCTCAGGTAATCGCCACACAAATGGGCCTACGCATGCTGGAGTCAATCGAGGATGAGCTGGCGACGGAAACGGAAGAAATAATCTACGAAGACCGCGACGAGCACTCGATGTGGCGCGGCCGTGGTGATCCGGTGCTTCATATAGGTTTTTATTCTCGCCTTCTTTAAAACAATAGTTTTTCAGAACTAAGAAAATGGGCAGACGCGATGTTCATAGCACCATTGGACGCAAACACGCTGGCGAAGATAGCACACGGATTGTGCGATAATTTATTAACGAACGTTGTTAGGTATTTTTGCTCATTCAAACCTTACCAATTCTTAGGGCCTGGGAATCAACAAAGCCACTATATTTTGCGCCTGCGATGAACACGGAGATGTGGCTATCCCCATTGACCGCGCAACATAAAAAGCTGCTAACCGAGCTGCTGGGCTTCAAGGTTGGGCCGCTACTGTTTATTTGTTAATTTCCGGATTTCAGGAAATTCCGCCAATCTCAAAAACGTTGATGTGCGGCGACACGGGGCTGGGCGGGATGGCCGAAATACAAATGATCACGACAATCATCGCGCAAATGGTGCGGAATCGTTTCGCCGTCTACACGCCAGTCGTCAATACCTCTGAAGAAGTCCCCGGTTACGAATGAATGATCTCGGTGCTATTGTTTTTTGGCTTTTCGCTTTTGTACGTTGATAAAGATAAATCTGCATTTATGAAGTTGAATTCGTAGTTATTAAAATGCAAATAGAACTCGGAAATATCAGCATGTCCACATCATGAGCCGCTCCGGGTAGGTTTCTACAGGAATATCTGTGTATTTTTAGCGCCACCTCGCCAAAGGACTACCGCTACATTGGCTACGTTGATTTGGCGGTAGTTTGTGCTCATTTTCTGATTTGGTTTTGCCAATTCAGACAGCAATCCGGAAGACGCGCGAGCACCCTGGCGTCTTCTACCTCGACGACCCGTCGCAGCGCGAAAGCGAACCGCTGGTAACATTTGGCAGAGCTTGTGCATTATCAGGGGGGTGTGTATAATTCCAGAAAGACCGGGTAACGCAATGGCCAGTAATTAAACGTGTTTTTACAAAAATGAACTATTTCACGTGGCAAACTATCTCAAAAAGTGTTAAAAAGTGGTTTCTTTACTAAAAAATTGCAAAGTGGAAAGCGAATTTGCGCATAAAATAAACATACATATACCCATAGCAAATGCTGCGTCTGATGGCCCTCTTCCCGAGCACCGAAAAGCCGGCCCAGCTCACCAGGGTGCAGACGGATAAGTATCCGGTAGTTTTGAGCAGATTGCGTTAATTTGTCGTTTTTTAGAAGCTCTGGTACCTCAACGAGCACCACAATGGACCATTGTGAGTTTGGTGCTCAAATTTTTCATCTATTTTCTCGTCGAAATCACGCGAGTCCTTGGTGCTATACTTTTAGCTGTAGCCGCCTGGCAATTAAGCAGCGTCTTTGTTTGGCGTTGTTTTAAATGGAAAAGAATTGCTAATATTTTTTTTTAAAAAAAAAAATTAAAAAAAAAAAAAAAAAAAAAAAAAAAAAAAAAAAAAAAAAATTAAAATAAAAAAAAAAAAAAAAAAATTTTTTTTTTTTTTAAAAAAAGGGGGGAAAAGGGGGGGGAAGATTTTTTTTAAAATTTTTTTTTGGTGATTATTTTTTATAAAAAAAAAAAAATTTATAAAATTTTTTTTTTTTTTTTTTTTTTTTTTTTTTTTTTTTTTTTTTTTTTTTTTTTTTAAATTTTAAATAAAAAAAAAAAAAAAAAAATTAAAAAAATTTTTTAAAAATTTTAAAAAATTTTAAAAAAAAAAGATTTAAAAAAAATAAAAAAAAAATTTTAAAAAATTTTTAAAAAAATTTTTTATATAAAAAAAAAAAAAATAAAAAAAATTTTTTTATAATAATTTTTTAAAAAAATTTTAAATTTTAGAAAAAAAATAAAAATATTAAAAAAAAAATTAAAAAAAATTAAAAAAATTTTAAAAATTAAAAAAAAATAAATAAAAAAAAAATTTTAAAAAAAATTTTAAAAAATTTTTAAAATTAAAAATTTTTAAAAAATTAAAAAAAAAATATAAAAAAATTTTAAAAAAAATAAAAAAAAAAAAATTAAAAAAAAATAAAAAAAAATTTAAAAAAAATTTAAAAAATTTTATAATTAAATTTTTATAAAAAAATAAAAAAATTTTTAAAAATTTTTAAAAAAAAATTTATTT